TATATATATATATATATATATCGTATCTTTCATAGCACATAAAAAATATTATTATTTTAAATTAAAAAAAAATGAAATGAACCTCTTCAATCAAAGATAAGTTGGTATGTACGTATAAATTGAAGTTTACGTGTTAGTTATATAAATTATTCACAATGATCATTTATTCATAATCAACTGCAAATCGATTGTTTTCAAACAACACAAATCAAACAACTAACCAACTTATCCGAATTAGCTGTTGATCAACAGTTTATCTAGCTCAACTGCTCATTAGTAGATTATCAATAAATTGTAGTTGCACGAAACAAACCCTGAGACATGGGTTGGAAAAAAATAAAAGTCGTGGCATTCAAAGTTAGGTATGAGAGAGCTGTTGAAAATTGACAGCCAAACGTGGTCATTATTGTCCAACTTTACTTTTGGAGAGATCTCTTCTTCTAAGTCAAAAAAATAAAAAAGGCAAATCTTAACTTTACAGAAATAAAATTTAAACTATTGTTAATAAGGTTTTAATTAATATTATTAATTATAATACAATTAATTATGATTAACAAAATATAAAATAAGATAATAATGTTTAAAGTATGAGCTAATTAACTATTCTCTTAAATACTCTTTACTATTTCTGTATGAAGGTCTCCTACTGCATCAAGGATTAGGGCTAAAATTCTGTATGCAACCTCAAAGCAAGGGCTAAGAAGAGTGCTTGATGGTGTCCACTATGAAGTGCAAGCTACTGATCCTTCTGAAATGGGCATTGATGTCATCAAAGAGAAGGCCCTGTGATTTTATTATTTCCTATTATATATAATAAATAGCCAAGGTTATGGTGCATTTACGTACATGCCACATAATTTTTATGTATTTATATATCTAACACCTAAATATTAATATTCACATGGATGCCACTCAAAATCCTTAACCACCTATAAAAACTTATCATCATCACTTTTTTTTTAAAAATGGAAATACAAATACACCTTTTCATGCATAGTTTCATGAAATGAAGGTGTAATAAGCGTAAATATCAATTTTTGGGTGTTTGATATGTAAATATGAAAGAATTGTGTGGTATGTATGTAAATTTTCTTATATGTATGTTTAAGTGCAGGCGGCATTAATTTTCCTCTTCTAATTTTCCAATTTCATCTATAACTTCTGGGGTTTTAGATAGTTCGGAGCTTTGTTTGGATTGGAAATTTGAGTGTAAGAAAATGAAAAAAAGAAGTTTTATTGTCAAATTAAGGATATGTTTGAGACAACTTTCTGTCAGCTTCATGTTTTAAGTCGTAGCCTTAGCTCTGGAGAACTTCTTTCTTGTTGTTTTATAGAAATCTTTGTTGCAAAAAACGTTTTTTTTTTTATCTTGCCTTATTAAAGTACGTTGGCTATAAGAAAGTTGTTGTTTGATTTTTTTAGAAATAACATATTTATAACTCCCATTGCATCTTCCTAAGAAGTTCTTTTTTTTTTT